TTTCACAGGGCACTGCCTTGGTGCAGTCCGGAGGGTCGCTAGCAATCAGAATTATCGTCTGGAGAAAAGGAGGCTCAGGGGAGACCTTATCGCTCTCTACAACTACCTGTAAGGAGGCTGTCTCTTCTCCCAAGTAACCAGCGATAGGATGAGAGAAAACGGCCTCAAGCTGCGCCAGTGGAGGTTTAGATTGGATATTAGGAAAAATTTCTTCACCGAAAGGGTTGTCAAGCACTGGAACAGGCTGCTCAGGGCAGTGGTGGAGTCTCCATCCCTGGAGGTATTTAAAAGGCAGGTAGATGTAGTGCTTAGGGACACGGTTTAGTGGTGGACTTGGCAGTGCTGGGTTAACGGTTGGACTCAATGATCTTAAAGGTCTTTTTCAACCTAAACGATTCTATGATAATATGAGGAGGAAAATCTGCATGATTAATTTCTCTTTAACTGGATAACAACGTACAAAGCATTCAGAATATTAAAGTCCTCAAATTTAGGGCATCTGCTTTTAACATATTTATATTTTCAAGTGTTTCTTCAATTGTTTGTAAAAGTCTATAACATTGCTGGACACATGATTTATGAAAAATAAAAAAATCTGCCCTCTAAATCTTTCCATTTTTTGTTATTGTAAATTTAAAACAACAGATCATGTCCAACAAAAGTCGGGAAACCATACTGAAGGTAAATGTCATTGCTTGTCAAAAGAAATCTTTTTCCAGTCAAACTGCTGTTCTGGATGCCTTAAAAATTGTTAAGCCACTAAGAACGTGGAGAGACTCCTCAGCTGGATTTCCAGCTAACTGTGTACCTTTACAATGTGCAACACAGCACAGACGGTTCTGCCTGCAAAGGGTTACCTGCCCTTGGTAAAGCAGAGGGAAAGGTTGATGAGCACTAGCCCTGGAAGGTGGTGAGTGCCCTCAAAATCCATTTTGGGGTTCCTGATGTGTTTTGGGAAGTGGTTAGTACCACATAGTCTTGAACCCTAAATCTCTTTAGCTTGGTGAAGTACATCTGAATGAAACTGGTGTATGTATTAGAACAAAGTATATTACAGTTTGGCATGCATCCCGGGTTTGAAAAGTAATGTTGTGTTACCTTTGAGTACTAACAAATTTATGTTCTCAAAGTAACGTTTGCTATTAGATCAGTGATGCTGAGAAACTTGCAGTTCTTTTGTAAGTATGAGAGAGAGAAGTCACTTATTTGGCAGGTTTCTTGCTTGCAGTAGCTACTTTGATTTACCCCTCATTTAGTTAACATTTCTATTTACTGGAACATACCTTTCCAAGACCCAGTAATTATAATACTTTTTGATAAGTAGGAGATCTACTTTCAGTTACCGAATGCTTGCAGTTGTAAAAACAAACAAACAAAAAAAAATCAAAATCTGTTATATGAAAGGAAAATGCAATTTAAAACATCATGTATACATGGGACTTTATTTTTCATGGGAGCTATCTGGGTGGTAGATAATACACAACAAAACACAGATATTTTCAATATAATGCTGAACCTTCTATTATAAGTGCTAGAAATCCTAAATTATGTTAAGGATCTGTACAAATTCACTTTAAGAAGACAAAAAAAATCTGCCCTGAAAACATATAATTCCAATAGCCAATATAGAGAAAATGAAGTAAGGTTCTGATGTTATAGATGGTGAAATGAGACATTTGGAGAGGAGACAGATTTTCATGAGTTTTCATAACAGCTCCTGCTGTTAGACTTAAGGCTATTACACTGTATTTTTAAAAGCCGCGCAAGTGGCTTGCCCACACGGAGACTGCAGAATAACCAGGTTCTCAGTCCTAACTCTGGGTCCTAGGTTCTGGGTCCATGATCACAGCTTAATTAATTAAGTATTGCCATTTAAAATAATAGTGTCTCATGAATCAGATACTATTACCAGATTCTGCTAATAAATGTCTCCTAGAAAAAGAGAGAGAAAAGGGGAGAGAGAAGCTTGGAGAGAGACCACCCTTTTCTTGGTACAAGTGTGAGGATGACTGAAGTACAGCATAGTCACATTTTATTTCATTATGATGTCATTTCATTTGAGCTAATCTCACTGTCCCTTCAGCTCCAGTGGCCATTTCTGCTTTCCCATTTGTCACTTACTACAGTCATTTCCCCCATGCAGTCTCTTATGGACTCTGCATGTTTCTCTCTTAGGCTCTGGGAATCCAACTGACTTCAGTACAACTTCCCGGTGTCGTCTTTCTCTCCCCGCTACTGCTATATGCGTGTCTCTTCCCATGGACATAAATAATCCTTTCTGAAAACCAAGGAACTGGGGGCAGGGCTATAAATGAGTAAAGGCAATAGTACTTTCATTTTCAAAGGAGTGGGGTTTTCTTCCTGTGTAGCACTTGCTTGAATCAAATAATCATTCTCTGGGGCCTTCAGGAGGTAAAATATACATGGTGGAAAAGGGAAGAAAAGCAAAATTTACCACGTCAGAGAGAACGCAGTTTCATTGGTTTTCATGTTCTGTGATTCGTATTAAACTTTCAGCTTCCTAACTTACTACAAAAGCAAAAAAATCAAATGTGTTTACTTTCCTGCTTCAGTTTAACTCAGTTTTTCTGGACGAAAGTGTCTCATCAAACAATATTGGTGAATGCACTAGAAAGTTAAATATTTTCTTGTAAATGACAGTTGGCCTTGAAATGCTGCAGGAAGGAGCCAGTGAATGCTCTAGTAGATTATTTTAACATTTTATTTTGAAAAGTGTGAGAAGCTAAAATGGGCAACGACTGTGTCTGTAAAATGCCTAGCACATACTTGGGCAAAACCAGTGCCAGTGATGTGGATTTCGTTATTGGTATTTGCATCCTTCATAAAGCATTTTAATTCATGTTTCAAGACCCTGGCCTGTTAATTTGACACAGGTGAATGGTGTCCATCCAGAATGCAGGTTTCAGCTGGAGATTCACAAGGAGGAAACAAGGTGCATGGAACTTCTAAAGAATACAAAGCCAGTGGACTACAAAGGTAAGAAAAGATAAGCTCTAATGTAGAGACAACTGGAGTATTCAAGATTTTCTCCCTTTACTTTCTTTGTTGTTGTGGTTGCAGTTGCCGTATTTGTCTGTACCGTGCTTATAATTTTATGTATTTTAGAATTTATGCAGATTTTGCGTTAAAGGTACAGCTGCAGCAAGCATGTTGTGAGAGGTGTGCCAGGCGCTAGGCACGCACTGGGTGGGACGCTAGATGGGAGCAAATGCATTCTTATGTTTTAAGCTGTTGCTGCTAGTATTTCCTGACTGGCAGAGAAGCTGCAGGCTGGTGATGACAGGACCAACAGAAAGAGCAAGTCTGAGGAAAAGTTGAAAGCCTTGGATTCTAGCTATGGTTAAAAGTCAAGTACTAGTGGCAGGAATGATCTCTGGGTTTCCCAGGCAGATGCTTCAGACAGAAGATCAGATTCACACCCAGAGTACTAGAGAGTCATGCAAAGGAAGAACTGGACTGTAGTGTTACATTCAAACCCCAAATTCTCTCTGTTACTTTATTGTTTTTATTTTCTCTCTACATAGAAAGATAAATATATAGGTACAGATATGGCCAATTGTAATTTAATAGAAGAAAGAAGGAAGAGGAGGTGTAATTTATTATTTTTTTAATTTTAGATTTTACTAGATTTCCTTGCTACGTTTTCATGTGAATAGAACATAAGATTATGAAAAAATGACATTTTTCTTGTAAGTTGGAGCTGCTGATAAAGCCATTTGTTCAGCAAGCAAAATACAAAGGCGACAGATAAATCCAGACAGCTAAATAAAAAGCAAATCTGTAACACTGAAGTAGCTAGGGCAGAACTTGGTTAAAAGTTTTTTGCTTTTTAGGAAAGTTGAAAGTGTGTATTTATTAATTTTAAAAATTTTTTGTGACGAAAGTATTGATGTTTTATGATTAGTTATCTGTTGCAAACTGTATGCCAGAACTTGTGAGCAGAAAGCAGTCTCTATGCACCTACTGGTGAAAGGATACAAGTGCTTCTTGGAGTGCCTCATTTGCATACGTTACCAGCCCAGCACTCCTCTGGTAACATGTGAAATATTGAAGGGAAGGGTGGGCTTTCAGTGAGACTTAGAAAAAGGGGAAGGAAATTTTAGATCTAAAGGCAACTGAACATTTTTCAGTTCAAAATACAATTTTGATTTTTACAAAGTAACGTCACATCTAAAACGACTCATTACATTTCTGTTGTTAAATGATCTTTAAGTGGCTGAAAGTATTTAATTTCAGATGAGTTTTCCAAAGCCTCATCGGCGTCCTGCTTTTTGATATGGTAGTCCAGGTATGTATCATCTCAGAATAACTGGGCTCCTTGGAACACTACAGCTCTTGCAGTGCGGTTGTTTTCCCTTGGCTGAACTAGGTGATACATAGTGTATTTGTTTTTTCATATTCAGTCCTTTTTGAATGTGCTGTGAAGATGATTATGATACCTCAGGGACCTGCCATCTGCAGTGCCCTTTGAGCATAAACATGAGTCCCAACTTATGATGCTTTCTCCACCTCTCTTCTTGCTTTGAATGCGTAACTCCCTCAGTGCATACTCTAATATCAGTTTGTATACAATAAAATAATTAAAAGGATCATCAACAGTTTGTATTTTACTATAATTTTTCCTTTTGATTAATCCAGATCAGTAATTAGAAAAATTATAATAACAGTGAATAGTTTACATGGATATCTCTTCCAAGCAACATCTTACTGGAATAATTGATCTACATTTAGAATTTTTTTATTTATATGAGTGGTGAAGAGAGACAGCTGTTACATAAATAATACTAGTGTGAAGCCAGATGGAGGAGTAATTACTAGCACAGCTTAATGAATTAAATCTTGAATTAATAAATTCAGTATTAGCTATTATACAGTTTTGAAAGTCAAGCTTTCTTCAAGATCCTCTTTTGTGATCCAGATGCTGGGCTGCTCTAAGGGTGTCCTTGTGATGCACACCAGTTTTATTTTGGGTTCCCTAGGGGAAGAAAGAAGTTTTCTGTCAATATTTTCTTCACAGCCTCTTTTCACTGGAAGAAGAGTGCCTCCTGAAGGCAAACTACTGTGTAGGAACTTCATGTCTTGGAAGGCGACAGCATGTCTGATGGTGTTGATTCATCCCTGCGGGTAGTGATAAAACAGCAGTGGAAGGATTTATACATTTAATTGAATGCCTGGCTGAAACTAAGGGAATATTCTGTTTTGTAGGAGACTGGAATAAAGCCCCTGTGGTAATGAACCCTTAAAAACTATATGTTTAATATTATAGGATAATTTGTCCTATGCTTCACGTTATAGATACCTTTACCAAGAACCTGTTCAGAAGAGCCTATGTTAAATATATGCATTTCCAAAAATATTCATTCTCTATGTGTCTTTATTTTCCTAATAAACTCTCTGTATTCATACAAAGATGTAAGGAGTATTTTGAACAAAGACTTGCAGATTGTCACAGTGATACTCTGACTGCTGATAAAGAAGAATTACTAATGAAAATTGGCAAGCTGGAACTAGTCCAAGACCTAGCTCCACACCTAAAACTTGTAGTACACTTGAAACATAATTCTTTACAATAAATTCACAAAACCTATTTCACTTTTTCGTGATGATTATGCAACCCTTGTCACACTTTTCTAACTTTAGTATGTGCTACCTGCCTTACAAAAGCTGTAATGAAATCTAGTGGAAGGTTCTTTCTAGAATTTGGAAATAAAGGTTCACTGAGATTTTCCACAGGAGGCTTAGGCCTCCGTTATCAAAATCAGTGGGAATTTTTTCATTAACTTCTTGGGCACCTGAGAAGCCTTCACACCTCTGTGTAACATGCTTCAGAATTTGACTGGCGTGCACAGCTACTGAATTTTGGAGGATCCAAATTTTATGGGACAGGCAGTTTCTCCTTTGTCCTAGATGGCAATTATGTATGGAATACCTTATCCTTCAGCCTGGAGAAGAGGAGACTGAGGGGAGACCTCATCGCGGTCTACAGCTTCCTCACAAGGGGGAGAGGAGGGGCAGGCGCTGATCTCTTCTCCCTGGTGACCAATGATAGGACCCGAGGGAACGGCAGGAAGATATCCCAGGGGAGGTGGAGGTTGGACATTAGGGAAAGGGTC